TAAAAAGAAGGCAGTCTGCTTCTATAAATATCTACAAGTTTGGAAACCCTATAGGGCAGTTCTACTCTATCCCACAGGGTCACGTAGATGTTATGAGTCAATGACCACAGACAGGGATAATATTGAATCTATTAATATATCTATATGGCATCATTGTGCCATATGATGCCATATAGATAGGGCTGACTCGACAGCACATAACAACAACAACAACAACAACAACAACAACATGGCATCATTTATAAAGTTAATATACTATTATTAGCAATATCTTACTATGAGAAAGGATTCTGGTCTAGACTACCTGGATTTGAATTCCAGTTCTGTACTTATTAGTTGGGTGACTTAACTTATCTGGACATCAGTTTTCTCATGGGGAAAATAACAACATCAACTTCCATGCATTACTGTAATGTACTTAATATAGTACACAAAGTAGAATTAAATAAGTGTTGGTGAAACCAAATGAACAGCAAAGTTCATATCTGTGATTACAGCAATAAGGATGCTGCACTGTTTTGAAATTTCAAAGACCACTGCCCTACATGATAAGAAACAGACTCACCTTTGAGGTCCTCTAATTTTCATTATTTTTATGGCATAACATTTTAATAGTTATATGGGATAAAATCAAGAATGGAGAGAAAAGAGAACCCATAAGGTTAATTGGAAAGACATGACACCTGGAGTTGGAAGGTCTCTTCTGAGCCCACTGACAATCAAAGATGCAAACAGAACATTCAGTGGGTTCAACATCCATATCAGTCCTCCCATTTTCTGCTCATACAGTGATAGATCTCTCTCTCTCTCTCTCTCTTTAAGATTTCATGACACTCCTGCCTACATGTCCTCTTGGGTCTGATCCGAGGACTGAATAACATACTGATGTGTTTCTACTCCTGATTTGCTTTATGGGAATTATAAATGTTTCTCTTCCCACTAATACCAGTTCATAAATGACATGTTCTGATTTCCATCCATCCCTAGCAATATCAGGAGCTCTAGTGGCACTGTGGTTAAGGCACTGGCTTCTAAACAAAAGGTTGGTGGTTAGAACCCACCAGCTGCTTTGTAGGAGAAAGATGAGGTAGTCTGCTCTGTAAATATTTATAGCTTTGGAAACCCTATGGGTTGCGATGAGTCAGAATCAACTCAATGTCAGTGAGTGGGTTTGGTTTTTGGGATTCTAGCACTACTTAGGTGTCTGAAAATATGAATAGATTTCAATATTGATTTCTTTCCTGCAGCATGCTAAGAATAAAATAAAATTTACCCATATAAGGACTGAGATTAAGAATCCTTTGAAATTCAAGACAGGGTGTAAATTGTTGCAAAGCATCATTTTAATTGAGATCACACACTTTTTAATGGCTTTTAGTAAAATTCTAGCCATTGTCCTTCTGCAAATGTTTCTTTCCTTGGACTGAAAAAAAAAGGGGTGTCAAGTTTGAGCAGAAATATCTCAAACCCATTGCCATCAAGTCTTTTCTGATTCATAGTGACCTTATAGGACAGAGTTGAACTGCCCAAAGCCGTAATCTTACAGAAGCAGACTGCTACATCTTTCCCCTGCTGAGCATGTCTGGTGGGTTTGAAACACTGCCCTTTCCAGTTGGCAGTCGAGGGCTTTAACCATTGCAACACCAGTACTCCCAGAAATATCTTGTTGTTGTTATTGTTATGTGCCGTCGAGTCGGACTCAAGTCATAGTAATCCCTCCTTGGGTTGCTGAGGCAGTATCACTACGGAAGTAGATTGCCCAACCTTCCTTCCAAGGAGTGGCTGGTGGTTTTGAACTGCCAGCCTTCTGGTTAGCAGTCAAATGCCTTAGGTACTATGCTACCAGAAATATCTTAGACAAGATGAAATTCCAAATGGCAAAGACCTAGTTTTCCACATCTTTGATTTGCAGGGCAAAACACTTCACTGAGATTCCCTTCCTACCCAATTTAGTTGGCCCCCTACTGACACATGGCCACTCCTCGGAAGGAAGGTTGGGCAATCTACTTCTGTAGTGATACTGCCTCAGAAACCCAAGGAGGGGTTGCTATGAGTCAGGTCTGACTCCAGAGCACACAACAACAACAACAACATGGGCAATGACAAAGGTTTAATAAACTGTTTCTGCTCATAATCTCCAGTGGAGGTTTTTTCAGATCAAGCTCATCATCCGGCATGACTTCAGGGAAAAAATGGAATCTTAAAACTTGAGCCTCAGAAATCAACTTTGCTGAACACCTCTTCCCCTACTTGAATTGCTTCCACAATATACCCAATGACTGGTTGCAGACCAGACCATGGTGATCCATAGGGTTTACACTGGGTAGTTTATAGATCACCAGGCCTTTCTTCCTAGTCTATCTTTGTCTGGACACTCTATTGAAAACTGCTCAATATCATAGCAATATGCAAGCCTCTGCTGACAAATTACATGCATTGGCTGGGAATTAAACCTGAGTCTTCTCCAAGGAAGGCAGGAATTCCACCACTGAACTACCACTGCCCCCACTAAAGGATGCTAGGGGATCACTGTATCTTTCTAGGTTTCTAGCAGCCAAAGGGTTCTGCCCCACTGTGTAACTCCGGATCCCATAAGGCAACACCTGTGCTGGTAAATCTTGGTTCAGCATAGTTTCAAGCCCCCAGTGACCTTTCTGCCTCATCAGGATATGCTTTGGTTTGCTCATATCCTTCCTAAAATGTAGGTTTCAAAACTGAGTCCAGGTTTCCAAACTACAGTCTGCCTAGGAAAAGGAAAATCTTCCATGGTTTCAGAAATCATACTTTTAGAAAGGCAGGAGAGGCTTAAACTGGATGCCTAAACTTACTGAATACAAGATCTCCTCCCAATGAATGACATATCCTCATTCTAAGGTCCCTTTTACCAAGGCATATACATATAGGCCTACCATTAAATACAATACAATAGGAAATTGCATTGAATTTTGATTTAGGACAATGCAAGGTAAAATTCCACTCTTTTCTCCCACATGATTGGTGAAGCTAGGAAAGTTACTTATACTGAGAAATTATTAAGAGAGAGACCTCATGAGTCAGATTGGTTGCATATGTTCTAATCCTGTCTTCATCATTACTTACTTAACAATTTACATAACTTCTCTATCTTTAGTGCTTTCTACTGTAAATTGGGAATAATAATACAATCTTGAGGTCCCAGGTGGTACAAATGGTTTGCGCTTGACTACTAACCTAAAGGCTGGTGGTTCAAACCAGAGCTTTGAACCAGTTCAGTCTTGGCAGACAGCAACAAGGACCATGTGTGTGTAGTATAGCAACCAAATCTCTTGTACACCGGATTGTGACCCGAGCAAGAAACAGGCAACGGTGCACTGCTCAAAAATGGCAGCCAACTATACCATAACACATATTCAAAGCAGAGTGGTCAGTTATCACTTTTTAGTGGAGCACTGCTGCCTATTTCCTACTTAGGTCACAATTCAATGCTCAGAAGATCTGGTTGCTATGCAATGCATGCACTGCCCTTGTTTACACTGGCCATGACTGAACTGTTTCAAACTGATTCAAAGCCCTGGTTTGAACTTACCCAGCAGCACCACAAAAGCAAGCCCTGGTGATATGCTTCATAAAGATTACAGCTAAGACAACTCAATGGAATCTCTCTACTCTGTAATACATAGGGTTGCCATTAGTCAGAATTGAATTGCTAGCAACAGGGTAGGGGTGTTGTGAGATTTAAATTATTTGAGACTTACAAAGGCTTTAGAATAATGCTGAACACATAATATATACTTGATGAAGTAGTTATTATCATTATTATTATGTCATAGGACTATTGTGAAGACGAAATAGTATGTTTAGTCAACATGCACCTAGTATGCAATAGATATTAAAAAATGGGAATACTATAGTTAGTTACTAGGACCTCTGGTAGCATAGTGCCTAAGGCACTTGACTGATAACCAGAAGGCTGGCAGTTCAAACCCACCAGCCACTCCTTGGAAGCAAGATGGGGCAATCTACTTCCATGGTGATACTGTCTCGGAAACCCAAGGAAGGGTCACTATGAATCAAGTCTGACTCGATGGCACATAACAACAACTTAGGAGACTATAACCTTTACATTTTTCTTTCAAGAAGACTCATTTTACTTTTAAGTGATTATCCTACTACCCTTATGGTATCCTAATTCTAGTCAGGACAAATGAGAGAAAATTATAATTCAAAATGACCAAGGTTAAGTAAATTGGCTGGTTACTTGTTTAAAAAGTATTTGATAAATTATCTTTGTGGAGTTCCAGGTAGATGTCTTATAACCTGTAAAGTGCAAGATGAGTAAGAGGGAAAACATGCCCATTTAACTCTTGCTCTCTTGGCAAAATGGATCATAGCATGCTTTTACGTTTTCTCCTCACTGTCAAAACAGGACTGACGATGTCAGGTGAGCTCCAGGGATGAGCCTAGGAGTTAACTGCAGCTGTGAGGTTGATGAAAACACAACACTTTTTTGGTAGGATCGACAACACATCAGCTCTCACATTTCCAGGTCATGCAGTGATAGATTTTTTTTAAGATTGAGAACTCTATTTATTCTTTTTGATTATAGCAATTGTAAGATGCCACAGGTCAAACTCAAGAGATTCTAGATACTTTGACCGAGTCAAAAGACCTACATATGTCTCCTGCTAGGACGCTTGTCATTAAAGTTGCCAACACACAAAGAATTTGACTTAAACTGTCACATTACCCATAGCTCTTCAAAGCTCATCAATCTCCCATTAGGTTACCAGGATGGTGTGACACTTTTATCACAATTACACTGGAGGAAACATGGTGCTATAATAGTGTGGCCAAGTCAGGAAAGACACTCCCTTTGATGGACGATCACAGTTGATCAAGTTTGTCAGTTGCTTTATGTGTTTTTATGCTTGTTTGATATTCCTGCCCAGAGAGCAGAGGCTTTTAAGGGCACATCTGTCAATGGATTCAATTTCACAATGCCATGTGATTCTTTTACTTACCCCTGTCTTCTCATCAAAGATTTTGATTCCTCCAAAGGAGATGGTTAAAAAGATTTTCTGTTTGTGTTCTCCTTTGGACCGAGCGCCAGCAACAACGCCCTGTTGAAAAGAAGGACATGGATTTTACTTTAGAGTTTTCATTTGAAAATTCCCTCTGGTCCCAAAGGCATGTCGGATACCATCAATGGATGCCACCAATCATGTACACTCCTTTCCCTCGCCCCGTCCATTTTCTTTACACAGTGTGCTCACATCTTGATACTTTAGGATAATGCTGTTCTAGTTATACTAGCACTGTATAAATAGATACTTGAGCATTCATTCATTCATTTGACTAAACAAGATTTATAGAATGCCTACTTTGTGCCAGATGCTCAGCTCAGAATTGGGTATCCCAAGAGAAACATAACAGGGTTCTCATATTAATATCTGGGCTGGATTTTCTTGGATATAGTTTTAATCTTTTAAACAAAAGTGAGCTATTTAATACATTCCCAAGTGTAATTTTAGTTTTACCTCTCTGGAAAAAGATTTCATATGAATCAATTTAAGAGATTAGAAAGAAAATAAAAATCTATTGGAGATTGTATGTCTCAATTTTGCTTGGGAAAATAAGATCACCATACCTACTGTATTTTTATGCAAATGACATGCGTGTTCTACACTCATTTGCCAATCTGCCTGTTGGCTGAAAAAAAGTTAGCATAACACACTTAAGACAATACCTGGGGTGGGCGAGGGCAGGTAGGCAAACAAATGTAGGATGAGCGTATCATTTGTGTAAAAATATTGGATGTACTTGTGGTTTACAATTTTTGCCCAAAGACACTTGTTTTCCCCCTTTTCCCCATCACCTTTATGCCATCAAGAAAAGTACTTACCAAATATAGTGCATTTATTAAAATATCTGTTTCCTCACTTTTCTACTGGAATATAAACTCCATAAGACTTGGCATTTTCTCACTGCTGTATCCCTAGTGCCTAGAACAGTCTGGGAGGGCAGGAGGTGCTTAGAAAACAATTGTTAAATGAATGTGTTACCCAGAGCGCCCCCCCCCCCAGTTGATATGATTCAAGTTCAGAGTAAAGGCACTCACTTTTTAAATCAGTCCCTGGGGTGGCCAGTTACAGGAAATCATGGGTTTCATACTAGGGTATAACTTGGAGCGTAACACTATTTCAAGGGATTTACACTCAAGGGCTGATGCTTACTCTACATTATGTGTTTTATAGCTTCCAGCCCTTCATCACTGTTTTCATCAATAGATGGTATAGACTGAACCCAACTTTCAGCTATTATGGTTCTGGGCTTTTAGGAGTAGAAGAGTCTACAATAATGAGAATTGCACATTTCTGGGAGATAAAAGTAGTTTGTGCCACTCTCAGAACAGCATATTCTCAAAATCAATCTTAGAGAATGACTGGTGTTAAGGAGCAATGCGTATGACCAGAAAGCAAAAGGATTCTCTTTAGGTTGTTTGGTCAACCTCACTCTGAGTATTGGAAATCTTCTGTGGCATCAGAATATCTGGCTTATAGTCCTGGCTCAATATAATCTTGGACAAATCATTTAACCTCTCATTTCAACTTCCTCAAGTGTAAATATTTATTTTGCTAGGTTCAGAGGATTAAATAAAAATTTACATAGAGTACCAATTACAGTACCTGGTACAATATAGGGATTATTAAAATTAACTTCTACTAAATGCATGAATCCTTTTGAGAGGATGTGGTCGAGTCTCTGTTTAGATACTTAAATCTGTTGCCATTAAGTCAATTCTAACTCAAAGAGACCCCATAATCTGTAAAATAGAACTATACTCCATGGCTGTGTTTTCATGGCTGTGACTTTTCAGAGGCAGTTTGTCAGGTCTTTCTTCCATGACACCTCTGACTGGGTTCATACTAACAATATTCTGGTTAGTAGTTGAGTGTTTAACCATTTTCACCACACAGGGAATTAAGTTTGGCTACTTACTGGCAGGAAATTCACTCTCTCATAAATGGCATAATCATTGCCAAGTACCTTTTACACACTCACAGACATACAGAATATTAAACCAATTGCCCTCGAGTCCGAATCCATTCTGACTCATGGTGACACCATGTGCATCAGAGTAGAACTGTGCTACACAGGATTTTCAATGGCGGCTTTTCTGGAACTAGATCACTGGGTCCTTCTTCTTCGGCACTTGGGTCAAATCTCCAACCCTTCAGCTAGCAGCTGATTGCATTAACCACTTGCACTATCCAAGGCCTCATACAGAATGTTAGAGCAAGAGAAAAATCTTAAAATTAACCTATCCAGATTTTGTTTTTTTTGGACCTTGTTCCAGTAAGATGGTGGAATAAGCAGAAACTACACAGACCTTCTTCAACAAAGAAAAGGTGAACCAATTAACACAGATACAGAAGATAATCCTAGAGCCCTGAGCTTTGACAGGAAAGATACAGAAGTGGACTAAACTCCAACTAGTAGAAGAACCTGCATGAAAACACCAAAAAAGGAGACATATGGAACTGCAGTCTGTCAGTGATCCTGATGGCATGGACAACTTGGATATTGCCAAGTGGTGTAAAGACCTAAGAATTAACCTAAAAATTGGCCCTGCTAGCCAGAGGCTGCACAGAGGAATGCACTGGTATCTGGGGAAGCAGTGAAGAGGGAGACGGGGTGAGCTGTGGACTTCTGTCTGTCTGGAGGGTACAGCCATTTTGAATGTTTACAAGCAGTTCAAAAATTTTGGATATTTAAAGTGACAGCATTCGCTCAGATTCCAGGGGCCTAAGAATAGGCTCCACTTGCTGGGAATTCCAAGGACATTCCAGATGCACAGGACTGAAAAGGTATGAGATTTCCCTTGTTACTTTCATACCCCACACCCTCTTGGTGAAGGGAGGTGTGGCCATCCCCCACTCCCACCCACCTTCTGGGCTGGCAGGAATTCCATCCCAGTCTGTGTGCTCTCACAGAGCCTGGGTGCCCTGCCCTGGCCTGATTTTTTCCTTTTTTTTCCCTTTCAGTTTGTTTGCTTTTGTCTCTTTTAAAATTACTACTATCATAATGACTCTTTTTTGTTAATCCTTTTTATTATTATTCTTTATTCTTCCCTTCCCAAGTTCTAGTGTTCAGCTTTTTCTCTCTTCCCTGTTCCTGGTCCTATGTATTTCTTTCTCTTGGTTAACCTCATTCCTTGTTTTCCTTTTTGTATTTTTCCCATTTCTTCCCTCATTATTCTCCCACTACCTCTTTTCTCTTATTGCCCCACGCCCAGACACTTTTTTTTTTCCTTCTTCCTTTTCTTTTCTTTTCTTGGTGGTTATTCCTCTCTACTTACATGTTGTGCTTTTTGCTTTACTTTTTTGATTTGTTTTTTATTGTTGTTTTTGTCTGAGTGGGAGACAGGTGTCGTGCCCATATGACCCAACCACACCTGCACCTCCTGCAGCTCCATTTACTAAGTGAGAGCCACCACTTCCTTCTTCACCAACTGGCCAATGATGCACAACCACCAAGAAGAGCCTGAGTCACCCTCAGCTGATCTTCACAAAGAGTTAGCAGAGATCTAAATACAATAATATTACAATGTCTTTGAGAAAACAGATAGATCATCACTGTCCACACAAAGAAGCAAGATAAAGCAGGAGAAAAAGGGAGCAAGCTACAGTCCCAGAACACATCCCTGAAAAAGCAGCCACATTGGAACTCCCTGATAAAGAATTCAAAAGAATTATATTTAGGTACCTTCAAAGGATTGAGAGACAGATCAGAAAAAATACTGACAAAATTAAAGAAAACACAGACAAAACCCTAGAACAATTTTGGATGAAAACACAAGAAAAAAAATGACAAAACAAATGAAATGATATAAATAGAAGATTAATACTAAATTTTCAGAAGTAGATAACACATTGAAAGAGCAAAGGAGTAGAACTGAATCAATGGAAGACAGAATTAGTGAGACCGAACACAAATACCTGAATATTTGTTTGGAAAGGGGTCAACTGAAAAAAGATGAAAACAGAATGAATAAAGCCTAAGGTTCATGTGGGATACCATCAAAAGGAATAACCTACATGTCATTGGAATTTCAGAACAGGAAGTGAAAAAGAAAACCACTGAGAAAATTATCCAAGATTTGCTGGAAGAGAACTTCCCTGATATGATGAAAGACGAGAATATATCTATTCCAGATGTCCAGTGAACCCCAAACAGGATAGACCCCAAAAAGAAAATCACCAGACATATCATTATCAAACTCATCAAAAACAAAGACAAAGAAAGAATCCTTAAAGCAGTACAGAAAAAAACGACAAGATACCTAACCTTCTAAAAAAAAGTTTTATGTGCTTCCAAAGACTTCTCCAAAAGAATCAAAAGAGAACCTATGGATTGGGAAAAGACATTTGGCAATGACATATCTGAAAAGGGACTTACCTCTAAAATTTATAGAAAGCTCCAATACCTCAACAAAAAGACAAATAATCCAATTAAAAAATGGGCAGAAGACATGAATAGACACTTCACCAAAGAAGCTATCCTGGTGGCCAAAAAACATGAAGAAATGTTCACAATTATTAGCCATTGTTGTTGTTGTTGTTGTTGTTATGTGCTGTCGAGTCAGCCCCGACTCATAGCGACCCCTCCTTGGGTTTCCGAGGCAGTATCACTACGGAAGTAGGATTGCCCAACCTTCCTTCCAAG